ACTACTTAAATATTCATAAGTTTAAAATGTACTCACAAACCTGTACCCCAAATGGAGGTTTCATGAGTATGAGCTTACTTTAACTCAAACTGAATCTGGGAGAATAATTAACTGGAGACATCACAGCCATTAGATACAGGGAACAGAAGTAAAGGTGGTAAGATTTTGAATGATGTTTGGTGGAAGCAATTTTACCATTATTCAAAGAGCATTTCTTTTTAAAGTATTTTGTTGCTGTTCCCACTCACCAAATCATTTTAATAAGCTACTGCAGATTTAGAACTACATATTGAAATGTTTCCATAGGAAGGTTTTGTGGTATATAAACCATGGATTATAAATAAAAGATTATGATTAAAATGCAGTTCTGCAATCCATGATACAAGCAACAGCAAAATAAAAGAATAGGTATACAAGAGAATCTGAAGGGAGAAAAAGTAGCTTGCATATTGTTATTGTGGGTCAAACGATGCATTTCCCATGAGGGAAGCTTGCAGGGCCCTCTTTGCTGTACCTTAGCTATAATTTCTCTGTTTATCAAGATGATTATGATTCACATTTAAAAGCATCACACAGAGACATAGCAAGAACTTTATGCTCAGTTAAACCAAAATGTAATGTCAAAATCAAAATGGTGTTGACAGAGTTAGCAATCCATCACATCATGATGCTTTAAGTGTCCCCTGATCACAATGTCACTTAAGAAATAGTCTTTGCTACAACAGTAACGCTCTGAACATACCAGGAAATGATGTACATGTGCACTTTCTTTCCACAGGAGCATGACATGCATTTATCTGCCATAGAAAATTTCCACATCACCCCAAAACTATCAAAGGAGGAAACATTTATGTTTCCTGTTTTATTGTTTCTTAGTTACCTTTATACATCACTGACTCCATTTATCAGTACTGATAAGGTCAGTTCTCTTGGCCATTACTAGTTCCAGGCTAAAGAGCCTGTGCTGTGACTATCTAAAGGACTGTCCCTTCCCTTGCATCTTCAAAGGGAAACCTTCTGGTCTGAACAACAAAGTCTTTGCTTTGGCATACCTTGACTTGAAAATGAAGAGTATTTCCAGTAATGATCAAGCAGACTTTAACCCCCCCCCCCCCTAAAAAAAGCCCATCTGCAGTAAAATTGAGTGATTGTCCTGAATTTTTTTTTAAAAAAACTATGGTATGTATTAGTGCAGGCACCTTAATATTTATTGATTTCTTCAAACAGAAATGCAGTACAGGAAGTCCCCAAGTTACAAATAAGATTCTGCAGGTTTGTTCTTAAGTTGAATTTGTATACAAGTCAGAACAGGTACATTTTAACTATAACTCCATCTACAAACACACACACAATAGCTTTGGATAGCATTGCAAAGGGTGAATACCCTTGTGGTGTTTTTTTTTTGTCTGTGGCCCTGTTAGGAAGATTTTACTTCACTTTCTGTCCCTGTGATAACTGAATTTTGAAAAAAAAATGGCTTCAGTGGAGACACCGTTTCCCCATGATAGCTCTTCCAGGAGTGGATTTCCCTTCTGAGGAGTAGATTTCTCTCACTTCCTGTTGTCTCACCCCCATTCTTAACTATGAGTTATTTGTAAGTTGAATGTTTGTACGCAGAGACTACATGCAGTTATCTATGTGAATGCAGCACCTTAAATTGGACCCTTGAGGACTGACTATCAAAAAGTATCCCCTTGATTTGCTTTTATTCTGCCTTTGTATGAGGACTCCCTGCTGTGTAAAAATGTTCATACATGTGATCCCTCAAGCATGCTCTACTATAACAAATTTGCAAAAAAAACCAGTGCCCACCCTGAGTGTATTAATTAGTTCTAAGAGCTGACACCATCTAAATAAGACTAGATATTCATATTAACCATTACCAGCTTTTGTTTCTGTTACTTAACATTTAAAAGAAGAAGCAATTAGCACAATCTCTATGATGCACAATAATTAGGGCATTTAGACTCTCATATCTTCAATAGCAATGATGCAAAAAATCCAAGTGAGGAATTTTTTTCTCTGCTATTTTATTTTATATTTATATCCAGTCTGTCCCCCAAAAAAGGAATTCAAGATTGCTTGATAAGGAATAAAGCATTATAAAGTGTTTCACAGGTCAAATTACTGAATGAAACCCATTCATATAAACTGCACAGGGAAATGATTACAGAAATGGTTTTGTGTCATTGGCCATCAATTTGGTATTGAGTTGTGAACCTATGAATGAGAAAGTCCCAAACCACCAGTTATGAATGGTCCTGCTCAGAACTTGCAGACCCAGGACTGTGGCTTCCTCAGTGTGTCTTTCCCCTACTGCCTTCAACATACCATGCATTATAACTTTTTCCAATGAGCCCTACAATCTCAGGATGTGTCCAAAATTTCCTCAAGTCTGGTCATTCTTAATTGTAAAGAGATCTGCACAGTGGAAGTTCTTACTGTAATCTGTAAATAATAAACTGATTTTCTTCTGGTGGTCTTAGTGTAGTCAACACATGTTTGCAATATGATCTCTAGTGCTTTTTCTTTTCTGAACCTTTGGCATGTAGTATTTCTTGATCCATTTGGTTAAATAGAAAATTAGGGCATCACTTCAGTGGTTACAATTCCTGGTGTCCCTTGTCTGGCGGATTCAGATCTTTACTAATCATATCCATTCTTTGGGAGATTATTATGTTTTCCATATTTGTTAGCATGTTTTTATTTATTATTATTTATTATACATATTTGTATCCTGCCCTTCTCACCCTAAAAGGGGACTAAGGGTGGCTTTACAGCAGGCCAATACAATATAAATATAAAAAGAAACAAATACAATTAAAACCATACAATTGAACATTAATTTTTGAAACATCAATTAAAATCACATAATCCAGATCATAGTCCAAGGCCTCTCCAATTGTCAATTTCATTAGTCCATTTTCTTTTTGCACTATTTACTGGTCCCACAGCCATGTGTTTTTGTTAATATTTGGATGGATTCTGTCTCTACTGGCTTGACCTGGTGATGGCTGACAGGGAGCTCTGGCGTGGGCTGATCCATGAGGTCATGAAGAGTTGGTAGTGACTGAATGAATAAATATCAAAGTTGAAATAGTTCTTTTAGTATGCCACCTGTTCCTTGCAGCTTCTCCCTCTTCCAAGTACTTTGCAATCATCACTTTCTAAAATTGTAGATTCTTGTCTTCTTCAGATTCATGCTTCTTAGATCCTGGATTCTGATCACATGTTTGAATGACTCTGGGTTTCCTTTCAGTTTCCTGGATGTCCATTCAGTTTATGTCCAATCATCTCTTTAAACATAATATGACCTTGTCACATGCGCCACCAACATTGATGTGAATTACCATGTCCCAGTGCACAGAGGCCATAGGGACCTGTCGCTTCATGCCCCATTCTACCATGTCTTCTCCCCACCTCATCACATGGGGGGAGCCTGTTTTGGGCGGCTCAATCCATCTTTTCTTATGGAAAGATGTGGAGCCTGCCATTGTCCGAGCCACAGGACCGGCCTGGAAGTAGTTCTCTGGCATGTGATGGGAGAGATTGGGTTCTGTGGCTGAAGAAGAAAAAGAAACCATCGCCTCCACTGAAATCAGGACATGTGAGGTGGTCCATAATGCTTTTGTATTTGTTTTTGGTTTTCCTTAGTAGGTGGTTGATTACCTTTTAATGAGAAAAACTCCTCTTCCACTCTGTGCCTTGGATTGTGTTTCAGACATTTAGAAGTGGTTTACCAGTACCATCTTTACATAGCACTAATAAGTCAGCTATTTTCTCTAGGTGATCTTCCATTAGGGTCACTTCCCACAGCTGTTCAGTAGCTTCTTTTTTTAAGCTTTCTGCCACCTTCACCATTTGAAAGTATCAGGTTTTTTTTGTTGATGTGACTATTACTCCCTGAAGAAGGTCGATACATCTTATTCATGTAAAACGCTTTGAGCACTTCCTCTTGGGTTGCTCTATTAGAAGCTTAGACTTTTGATGGAGTCTAGTATAACTCTCAGCCCTTCTGACACTCTCAAACCCTCTCACTGTTTAAGCTGTACATCTGAGAAAGGTCCTGACTTTTTTAAAGTATGAAAAATCACTAGAGGCTTGTAAATTGCCCATCCTTATTCCATTAAATTTGAAAATACAGTTTTAATTTGTTGTTTATCTATCTACTGCAGGCTACATGTCATACATGACTGCAAAAGCCAACAATTGCATTCAACGTTCATTCCTTCTAAACCAAGAATTAACACTGTAATACAAGGGGCTTGCTTGCATGGGTTTAAACCTGCAAGAAGGCAGTTAACATTGAATCAGGCAGACCCAATTTCACTGGTGATAAAGTTGGAACCATAAAAAGGAGAAGTTATTAGAACAGAAGAATAGAAAAGGACTTGACTGCTGAATACAGAACAACATTCTCTCTATGTGTGTGTATTTTTCTAAAATAAATTGCTGACACTTTGGAAAGAGTTTTATATATTTTTTTAAAACCATCCAAAGTCTGCACAGTGAGCAACATGGAAGAATCTGTGCCACAAAGTAGATCCAAACAAAAGAACCATATTTGATTAACTGTATGTTTATATTATAGATTTATTTGCTTCCAAACATCATGGATAGACTCCTATTGGGTAGACTCAATTAAAGCAGGCACATTCAACATATTGTTAAATAGGTACATCTGATTCAATGGCTATACTCTGGTCAAGACTAACAGCAAGATTGAGATGAATTTCTTCCCATAAAGTTGCAATGAGTGTGTGATGTGATTTGAAGGTGTTTCAAGAAACAGATTCATCCTTTTTTTCTTTTCTTCATCTGCAGATATCTCTGCTCCCAAGAAACCATCTGACCATCCCGCATTACCCCCCTCACCCTCCTCTCTCCACATATCTTCCTGCATGAATTTCAGACCTATTCAAAAAAATCTGTTTCAGAAGCCAAGAAAATATCAAAGGATCACTTTCTTTTGACTGGAAATGACACAGGAGGTGATTTACCTGCAGCTGTCAACATTGTTCCTGTCCACAGCATTAGGAAAGGTGAAAGGTCCCTGGTTATTGATTTCTTTAACTTCAATACATCCAGTAAAATTGAAGACAGATCCTGTCACCTAAAGGGCAAGGAGGAGAAAACAAAAGAGTCAGACATCTGTCATATTTGTGATATGAAGTCAAACCAATCCTAAAATCACAGTTCCATACTCTGGGGAGTTCACCCAGGTTCATGTTACACTCTGAAATCAATTGGATTAGAGTTCCACTGTTTGTTAAAGCCCTGTTAACAACCCTCTCCATGATTGCAAATTAGTGCTGAATTTGTTTTCTTTTATCATTCTCAATCATTGTTTTGACACAGATCCAACATGATAGTACATTCCACAAAAGTGTATTGCCTTCTCCTTCCCCCTACAGTCTTAGGAGTCACCTCAAATATGTTTCTGAATAATGTATCACTACACTGGATTAGCTCTGTGAAGTATGCTGCCAACTGCAATGGGAAGGGGAGAGGATATTTTCATCTCTCCACTGTATTTTGCTTGTCTGCCAAAGGGCATCCATCATCAGATGCACTCCTATATTCTGACACACATCCAGCCTTTTTGCAGATCAGTCAGTTAAGGTAGTTAAAACAACATTGGAATAGTGAACTACAAAGGGAACAATCCAGTCAAAGATAAGCATTATTACATTAGGCTGGTTTCACTGAAAAAATTGTGTGCATTTAACAGATTCATAGACTACTCTCAACATATATGGCCTAGCCACTTAGCCAGCAAAAATTAAGAGGCACATTATTGCTCCCTTCTTTCAAAATTATTGCCTTGCCTTACTTACTGGGCAGGTGTAGCTGCCGGCGCTCCTCCCGCTCACCATCTTCCCAAGGGCCTTGGACTCTGTGTGTTCCCTGGTGCATGCGGAAAACTCTCAGCCAATCAGATTCAATACCGCTCCAATCTGATTGGCAGCATAAGTGGATCTAAGAGAAGATCTCATCCCCCAGGTCTGCCTGCTTACTCAGAGTATAAATTCCAGTCCTGTAGCTCCCTTCAGCTCAGTTGCCTTCTAGCTCTCCCACTTCCCACACTCTGTTTCATTGTAGTTGTTTCAATCTATATCCTTCCTTGTCAGAACTTAGGAGTGATTGTCATGGACTCTGGATCCGGTTCTGGCTTTTCCTCCTTCTGGGGAGGGATTATCTTATAATTTTTCACAAGGACATGCCAGCACAGAGAGCTCAGAGGCATTGAACAGGAGTCTGCACTATGTCCCCTCTCAGCTTGTGACATTCCTGGCATGGTGATGCCATTCAGATCTCATCTGGAGGCTCCTCCTTTGGTATTGTTGGACCAGCAGGAGGGCTTTCCAATGCTGTGATCCAGGACCCATGTGTCGGTCAACCTTATTTTTTGAGTCATAACCAATAAATAAGTCGTGACTTTTGTTATCCCAACCTGTGTGTGGCTTGTGTCCTGGTTGGTAGGTGGTGGCCTTGCAAACACAATTTAACTCTCCTTTTTCATTCTAACATTATACACACGCTTAAACCTTTGAATGCAATCAACAGTTTGTTTCTTCCTGTATCCTTTTCAAAATACAGTCTTAGGGTCTATTAACTTAGTCCTATCAGTGGCTGAAATGTCAGTTAATCCCAGCTAGAATGGAGCTATTCAATCCATTTTGATGAGTCAACATGTTGAACATCTATTCCACGGATGCAATAACTACATTCATTTTGAAAATACCAATATAATTTAGCCAAGTGTTCCAAGGATCATAGGAAAAGGTGAATCTTTCCTTCTGAAGTCAGAGACAGAGACTCAACTTTGTTGAGCGAGATATTAAGATCCATGTCCCCTGCCTCCTGGCTTACTTGATAGCCTTCAGTTTGTACTTGATTTGGTGGCAATTTTAATTTGTGGTGCAAGGCATCAAAAAGGAATAGGGGCTGATGATATAGCATATTGAGAGTGTGGATTTACATAACCCAATGCCATCTCTATTGGGGTTTTGGATGGATGGATAGAAATCATGAAAACAAAAGCAAACCAAACTTGTATCTCTAGGTGTCTTTAATTCTTGTTGAGCTTGGAACATATTGAATGAGGAGTGTTGAATCTTGGCTTCAGTCTGAATTTTAAACATGGTACTGTATCCTTGCTTTGAAAAGGTTTCAGTACTTTTGATAGCACCTTTAAAGTTCACATTATCATTCATAGCAGAATCAACACTACTGACCTGAAACATTCAACCATTTTTGACTCCCACTACTCATATGGCAATTAATGATTCCCTATGATAGCAATAATCCAGATAGACATTATTTTTTATGTTTTTGACTTTCCTCTTGTATAGACATAATTGAACTGCAACTTTTTTATACCAAAGCCATGGAATATATTGTTCTGCTACAGTACACAAAGATAACCACAGTGATGTCTGTATTTTATTGTTGCACTATGTGCCCAAGAAGACCCTAGTAATGTGAAAGGGGTAAAGCAAGCAATTTGTGTATAAGATTTCCCTTCTATCACAGTACCCCCATGTTAGTATGACCAGTGTTTGCAAAAGAGGGGCATCTTATAATGCTGATGCTTCTGTAGAGTTCTTGCACCACAAATAAACATTGGAAATATAATCACAGGGGAACACCCTTCTTCCAGAGAGATGATCAATATCAATGGTTGTTCTTGTGAAGACCTTTGGGTCAACAACACTATGCTTGTAATATACTACTATGTGTGTCAGTCCATGAATCAGGACAGAAGAACTCTTGTTAATTTTTAATACACAGAGACCAAATCCACCTTATGTTCTAACATGATCAGAGGTGTACCATTGAAATAGTCCTTGTAAGAAATTATTCATTGATTCCTCGGGTAAATAATGCTGCTGAATGATTTATCGGACCCAGGATGACTAGCCAAGTAACTGAATTCTTTCAGGACCTCTGCTTTGAGCATCTCTGTTGCTTTATGAGTCTTTAACCACCCTGGTTTCAACATCAGATATATGCTAATATTTTAAATCAAATTCTTGCTATTGTAGGCATAAGAAGCAAAGAGAATAGCTCCTGATAAAACCATCAAAGGTCAAAAGCAGCATCATTATAGCACTTATATCAGCCACTGTCTTCATTGAAGTTCTTTCAGCATTCCTAATGTCATGTTAGTATGGGCAAAATCATCACCATAGCAACCTGAAATCTATATTGCACACTGAAGAGTAAATTAGCAATTCAGTTTGGGAATATATAAAAAGAAATTGAGGGAGGGTATAGAGAAAGGTTATCTGCATTTTGTTAAAAATGATTTCTTAGTGAATTTTTTTTTCATATTAAAGCATGATTGACACAAGGCAGTAAACCACAGATCGAGTCTCTGGACACATCTTCTGAATTTTGTGGGCATCATTTGAATTTTGTGGTTGCCGTATGTCTGACATAGTGTTTTTCTGCTCAGATAAAAATAAAATAGTTATGAGTCTTGCCTTCTTGCCCTGAGCATCACTGTCTCATAAGGACTCCTGTCAAGTAACACCCACTCTTCCGGGGAGAGTGCGACTAAACAAACAGTGGAATAAATGTGTGCTTCAGAAAGATGCTTATGAATCAAGGCAGCCAATAGAAGGGTGAAAACGTGTATGGATGCTTTTGACCTTTTAAAAAATTACCACAGAAGTGCCAAAGTCCTGTTAGTATTCGCTAGGAGAAGTTAGCATTCTAAAGGTTTCCATCAGCATGTTCACATTTAAATGCTTTACAGTTTGTTTAAACTTGTGCATACATAGAATACGGAAAACTTACGTTGTGCACAGATTTTAACATTAGCCTCAATCATTTCACCACCAATAAGCATTTTCTTTCTTCAGGGACAAAGACAAAGCAAAACCCATTGGCCAAAGTAGTCCCATTTAATTAAATAACATTGATATAAGGTTCATCCTAGGCCATTGTCTTGTGACGATGGTGATGCAAATCTCTACTGACACCAACTTTCATGTATGGTGCATGGAAGCTATGTATATTGTTGCCATGTTACTAAGGCCATGGATCCAAACACACTTGTTCTCCACTGAGAGTTATGTTTACTAGTTTGTATCAATTATAGTATCCAACTTAGAGAGAATCTGAGCAAAATATCAGGCAGGTTGTTTGCAGCATGGCTGTAGAGTGATCTGGATTTTCCTCTCTTGGGTCCATATGTAAAAAGTCCTTGGCTACTTGAAACAGTTCTGCTAGATGACACCCTAAAGATGCAGTAGAGGCAGAGAAAAAAATGCCTTCGATGCTTCTATTGCCACAAAGGGAGCCCCCGGTGGTGCAGTGGGTTAAAGCACTGAGCTGCTGAGCTTGTTGATCAAAAGGTCACAGGTTCGATTCCGGGGAGCGGCGTGAGCTTCCGCTGTCAGCCCTAGCTTCTGCCAACCTAGCAGTTCGAAAACATGCAAATGTGAGTAGATCAATAGGTACCGCTCCGGCAGGAAGGTAACGGCGCTCCATGCAGTCATGCCGGCCACATGACTTTGGAGGTGTCTACGGACAACACTGGCTCTTCGGCTTAGAAATGGAGATGAGCATCACACCCCAGAGTCAGACATGACTGGACTTAATGTCAGGGGACTACCTTTACCTTTACCTAGGCCCTCAGATATGCTTTAGCCAGTGTTCATTAAGACGTGTCCTCAGTTTTCTGCTAACACTGCTTTAGTTGTCATCACCATGGGCTCCCTAGAAAAACAGGGGACTCGTTTGGATCTACTCCAGTGTTTCTCAACCTGGGGTTGGGACCCCTTGGGAGGTCGCAAGGGGATTTCAGAGGAGTTGCCAAAGACTATCAGAAAACATGTATTTCTGATGCTCTTAGGAACTCCTTTGGCAAAGAAGGCTGAAGATCTCTCTGTCTGTCCTTCTTGGAAACAAATGGCAAATCCTCCCACCAAAAGCCTTGCTCCACTATGATTGGCCAGCCTCTCAGGCAAGGGGGGGGGCTGTTTATAAGATTCCAAGAAGAGGGGAGAACAAGCATGCTTGTTGGTGCACATGTGCAGGCAAGGTAAAGTGGGAGGCTGGAGGGAGGATCGTGCCAGCAAGTCTCTTCAAGGCATGGAGGAT